ATATATATATATATATATAACTAATAACTAAACATAACATAATGATTGGCAGCAGGCGAGCTGAGCAGATGGAGAGAAAATATTAAACAAGTTTGTTTTTCTATGCTTTATTAAAGCACTAACTTCTGGTTGGTTATCAGAAAAACAAATGGAACATAGATAATAAGGTGAAAATAATTTTCAGTTTAAACAGTGAGGATAATAAAGGCACTATTTAAGTCTGTAAACTTCCTCACTGATCTCATATTGAGTACACAAGTCAGGCTATGAACAGACATTTGTGTTAGCTGCACAAAATAATAAAATGATCATTTATTTTAAACTCTGTGATGGACCTGTCCAGTTTGTGCCCCGCCTCTCACCCTTTGACTGCTGGAGATAGGCACCAGCATCCATGGCGACTCCACTAGGGATAAGCCTGTGAGATAATGGATGGATGGATTTCTTTTAAACTAAAACCTTTATTATTGCGTAACATCAAGAAAATACAAAAAACTGATACTCTTTCTTTGCTGTACCAAGGATATTTTTATCAAGATACAATTTCACAGAATCTCAGTAAAGCCAAAGTAACAATCGTGGTTTCTTTCTAGGTGTACAGTGGCATTTAATTGTAAGATAAAATACAGCTTATTTGCCAAGCAACATGCAGTTTATATGATTCACTGCTGCCCCGCTGGAACATCATAAAACATTCAAAACATGTAATGAAAAACAACTTGCTGATTAGCAGCTGATGTTGTCAGTCTGATTGGCATGTGGATGACTGTCCTCCACAGGCTGCAGTCAACAGGTGACGTGTGTCCTATTTATGCCAAACAGTGCCAGGTCAGTCTCCTGCCATGCTGTTGAGCTAAAAGCACCTGAGTCAATAAAAAAAAGTACATGTTAAATTATTTTATTTTAAGTTCTATTCAAAACAATCAAGGACACTGATTGACATTTGTTTTATGTTTAAAACTTGGTTTCAGTTTTTAGTCAAATGTTATTAAATACTATTATTTCCAAAGTATTTCAACTGCCTAAGCTGCAAGACCTTGAGATTACTATAGAAAAACACCCGTGAATCCTAGATTAGTTTGTATTTCTCGTTTTTATCAATATAACGGCATGCAATGACAGATATCGGTGTGAAAAGGCCTTTCTATAACAGATGTTGTCCTTGTCCTCTGTGTGACATTTCAGAGGGCATGTCAGCCCAGCAGTGTCATGATGTTCTGAGTCTTCAGCATCACAGTATGAGTTTTGTCCACTGCTGGCGCCCTGCTGCCAGGCAGCCTTTTAACTACCTCGGTGAACTTTGTCAAAGTGACAAACTGACCCTCTCCTGAGTACTGGGACTCTGCATTTTGTCTTCCTGGTGACGTGTCTCAAAAACCCCTCAAACTGCTCCTTTAATAAA